TTGCAGCCGACGTGACTAGAAGAGACGGAACGTCATTTCTGGGCTGAGAAAGCCACGCACACACGCGGCGAGGCTAGACTGATGTGCTGGGCAGAGCGGAGAGAGGAAGAGATGCGATGGATTCTGGGAAGAACGGGTTCCCTGCTAGGCTTCTGTGCCCACCTAAGGTGCTGGCAGGTTACTGCGGACCCGACCCAGTCCCTTACATAGTGTTGAGTAGCTATGTTTGTGTTTCGCTTTTGTGTTGGTACTTGGGTCTGGGTGCTACCTCTCAGCTTTTTTCGTTTGAGGCTGGTGCTCTACCACTTGAGCCACAGCTCCACTTCCAACTGTTTTGCTGGTTATTTGGAGATAAGAGTCTCACAGAGTTTCTTGCCCAGGCTGGCTTTGAACCAGCATCCTCAGATATTAGCCTCCTGAGGAGCTAGAATTAGAGGCCTGAGTCACTAGATGCTTGGCTGGATGAGTTTTTTTTGTTTTTTGTTTCCCCAAAACCAGTAATTCTCTGGGCAAATAATATGCTAACTGCGTGAAGGTCATTTTGCAAGAGATGACATAGATACAAAATAGTTTTACTAAAAGCACACAGTTACAGCTACTGAAACTTCGAATAGGACAAAAATTCCAATATTGCTGTTTCATTCTGTTCTCAGCTGCTTTCTGGCCGGTTACCAGGGTTTGGACTCAGGAACTCAACACTTGCTTGGCTAGCTTGCCCAGCTGAGTGCTCTCTTTGTTGTTGTTGGTTGTGGGGCTTGAACTCTGAGCCTGGGCTGCTGTCCTTCAGCTCAAGGCAAGCGCTCTACCACTGGAGCCACAGCACTACTTCTGGTTTTGTGAGTGGCTTATTGGAGATCAGAGTCTCATAGACTTTCCTGCCCAGGCTGGCTTTGAACCATGATCCTCAGATCTCAGCCTCCTGAGAGGGCCAATTACTTCTCATCCCTGATGCCAGAAGTGCGGAGCGGTTCAGTCTGGGTGCAGGACCCAGAGCCAGCTTCACCCCCGTGGGCTTCTGGCAGTGTTTGTGGTAATCCTTTAGGAGGGGTCTCCTGGAGGCAGGGGCTGTTGACTTACCTTGCATAGATTCTCTCTCTTTTTTTTTGGTGGTTGTGGGGCTTGAACTCAGGACCTGGGTGCTGTCCCTGAGCTCTTACCACCTTGAGCCACAGCACCACTTCCAGTTTTCTGGTGGTTCATGGGAGATCAGAGTCTCACGGACTTTCCTGCTCAGGCAGACTTTGAACCATGATCCCCAGATCTCGAGTAGCTGGGATGGCAGGCGGGAGTCACTGGTGCCTGGCTTGCATAGATGCTCATGTTGCTCTCCTTGGCAGTGCTTTCCTGCATACTCTGGGCGTCTGATCTCTTCCTCAGTCTGCTCTGTCTGCCTATCTCCTCTGCCCGCAACCACTCAAGAAACGCACCTAGCGCCTCAGAGTCCTCTGCCCCGATCTGTCACTCACCATGGAGATAGGAGCTGTTCTAGGCTGACTCACAGGGATCCCTGTTCTCTAGATGCGAGTCCAGCGTCCAGTGTCTCCAGCACTCTTGTCTGGTTTGTCTTGGGGGGGGTAGGAGAGCAAAAGGGAGGGGAGGAGACTTGTTTGTCCTGGTTACTCCTGGTCTGGGAGTTTTCTAGCCCCAAAGGCGACTTAGATGGGTGATTTTCATGTCCCCTGAACCACCTGCTGTGCCAGCCCCTCCCTGCCCCCAGGGTGTCCACCTACAGAGTCACCCGGCCACAGATCAGGGGTCTGGGGCCGCGTGGGCTCCCTCCTCCTTGTGGGCCGGGCTGGGGAGAAGCCGGCGCTGGGCTGCTCGCAGCGCTTTTCTTGGTTTTATGAAAATCACTACAGCTGGGTTATAAAAAGGAAGCAAAGGAGGCAAAGGAGACTCTCAGGGAAGAGGAAGCAGACCATCCCCACTTCACATACATGCACCTGTGCTTTACAGATAATGTGTAGCATATTTACCTTAGAATTTACATTAACAACATAATACGCCAATATATTACACATTGTAGTAATGTATGTGGAATGCATATATAATATGAAAGCTCATACTATATATGTATATATATGATGTCCAAACTCCAACATGATAATACGATGTTCAGAATCCAACATGATGTATATATGTGTGATATCTATCTCTATCTGTGAACACACTGTAAATATATATGACTTTTTTTTTTTTTTGCCAGTCCTGGGGCTTGAACTCAGGGCCTGGGCGCTGTCCCTGAGCTGCTTTTGCTCAAGGCTGGCCCTCTACTGCTTGAGCCACAGCACCACTTCTGGCTTTTTCTGTGTATGTGGTACTGAGGAATCGAACCCAGGACTTCATGCATGCTAGGTGAGCACTCTACCACTGAGCCACCTGCCCAGCCCCTGACATTATAATAATGTAGTTGAATGAAGATTGATTAAGGAAAAATGTTTGAGAGGCCTATACTACTATACTATATATACTCCTATATACTATACATACTTTATACTACTATATTATATATACTACTATATATTATATATACTTTGTTACTATACCATATATACTATATACTATATATACTTTATGCTACTATACTATATATACTACTATATCTTATATATACTTTATACTATTATAAGGCCAGGATGGGAAGGTGTGGGTATGGGGGAGTGGGGGTGGGGGATACAGGAGAGGATAATAAAACTCAAGTCCCATTTATCCCTCAGTGTGTGGACTTGGTTATAACGAAGCAGTATAAGAATGAGGCTAGGGTAAGGAACTGAACTAACAGTAAGAGTTAGAAAGTAGTTGATTGCTAGTGCACTTGTGCTGTTAATCTTTCAGACTCACATGCCTCATGGAGTACCTGATGCAAATAAAAATGACTTGGAAAGAGCCGAGGGGAGGTTTGGGCGGGGAAAGCGTGACTGTAAGATTCTCTTTGAAGACATTTGGCCAGGAGGGTAAGAAAATGAGGTCTGCCTTTAAAACCCAAAGAACTCCCGGCTGCGTCATCTGGTTTTTTAGTATGTTAGCACATTTAAATCTTTCCCTCTTCCCCCTTTTCAGCCTGTATGTTATCCAAGTCTGGGAGAAATTCTAGAGAGTTCTTTGCTTATGGTTCTTACTTCGTGCAAGTTTCAAGTAGAATTCTGTAACGAAAAAGTATGAGGAAGCTTGGGTGCAGGTGGCGCACCCCTAAAATCCTAGCTACTCAGGAGGCTGAGATCTGAGGATCACCGTTTGAAGCCAGCCTGGGCAGAAAAGTCCCCATGAGACTCTTATCTCCAGTTCATTGATCACCAGAAAATTGTAAGGGAGGTCGTGGCTCAAAGTGGTAGCACAGTAGCCTTGGGCAAAAAAATCTCAAGGACAGTGCCCATGCCCTGAGTTCAAGCCCCAACCCCCC